TGAAGCATTATATAATAATAAAATTTTATATAGAGTGAAAATATGTCAATCTTATCTGAATTAACTCCAAGTAAGTCTTTTTATATGGAAATGGAACTTCTTTCAATTGATAATGTGATGGAGGATAAAATATCTTAAAATATGTCTAATGAAAATAATCTTGAAGGTTATGAAGATACTTGGTCAAATGATGTTAGTGATGAGTTAGTTGAAATTGACTCCAAAGATTTTAAAAAGCTTCATTTGATAATGCTTTTGATAACTTGTATTACTTACAAAATATCGAATAGCCTAATGATGCTTATTATGAATTTATAAAGATAGTTAATAAATATTGACTTTTAAATTCAGCTGGTAATGTTTTTATAAACTTCTTTAATAAATTTACTAATTTGGGTACTTCTTTGCTTCTATTATTAACAAAAACTGAAAAAGAATTTCTTAATGAATTTATTTCGTCTTATATGATGTTCAAAGAAATTTCTATAAAAAAGTTTAAAAACATTGAATATATATATATTTTTTTAATATTAAAGTGAGTACATGTGACCCAGAATTTTATTGGTAGTATCAGTTGGTCAGTATCTGTTGACATAACAGTGCAAAGGCAATTATGAAAAGAGTGTACAACTAGCCACTTGTACAACTTTAGTCATTATTTAATTTAAGTAGTCCACCTGAAGGTTCTACACTAGTTGCTATACCTAGAACCTATCTGTAGAATCTCTATTTAAATACTCTGATCTTGTATCTACCACACTCTACCAATGACTCTAGTAAACTGGTAAAAATATGCCATGGTCACTAAGTCATGTTTAACTTTGTACTAAACCTACTAGTGCATTCTGTATCTCATACTTACAGCTTATCTGGTCATGCTTTGGCCTAAACTATTACTTGCAATTAGGGCTAATTATTAAATTACTTTTACTCTTGTAAGGTTTACCCAAAACTCCAGTACCTATATTTCTAATATTCTCTCTATCATCTCTTACTAACCACTACTTAGAACTCCTCAGAATTCCAATCCAAATAGTCTGATATGGTATACCTTAGTATTCTTTTTTTCTGGCAATTCTGGCAGCCTAGTTGGTTATGTGCTCTTTTACATATCTTGCCATCTGGTTTATCCATCTATCTCTTTAAGTATTTTTCATTAACTTCCATCAGTCCAATAGCACTGTTAAAAGTTGTATGCTATCTCCTTACTTGGAATTTTAAGTGGATTTCTGACTCTTTGGTTCTTTTGCTTTTTGTGCCTAGTAGTCTTATTGTGGGTTTGCACTGAAGTCTTATGCAACACTGGTTATATATTCCTTTATGTAGGTGTAATATTACATTTAGCATAAATGCCCTGAGCTTCCATTTGAGATAGTGCAACTAAAGGTTACAAATATATTAATTCAACTAATCAACAGAGACAGTTACTATAACACAGACCTATTTTCTAAAATTTATTATTTATAGGATTTGAACTCTAGACCTGCCACTTGAGAGTTGACAATCTGACCACTTTACTAGGTTACCACATTCCATATTGAATATATTTTTTACTATAAATTATTAATTAAGACTATAAAGTCTTTAATAAAAATCAATAGTATTAATCAGTCATTGGTTTTTGAATATGAAGATAAAAGAAAAATAAAAAATAATGTAGAATATAGAATCTTCAGGAAACAATATTATAGTAATTAGTAAAAATAAGAAAAATCAAAATTACTTCTTGGACAATGTTTGTTATTACTTATCTTTTATTCAGATGCAACAACCCTGAATCACATGAGAAAATCTTTTATGCACTTTTTGTTTTTATCACTTGGAAATATTCCTAATCATCAAAAAAACAAACCAGAATCCAAAGCATTAATTGAATACCTTTTAATCTTAACAGCTAAGGATTCTAAAATGAAAAAGTTTGATAGATTCCAAAAAGTACAAAGAGAAATCTTTCAGAAATGCATATCAGTTTTTCTTAAGCCTATTGTTGAAGAACTAGAGCTTTATTTTGTAATATGTAAAAATATAATCACTTTTATTTCGCATATATTAATAATTATCATAGACATAGTTAAGGCTGATAAGATTGTAAACATCTATTAGTCAGCTTCCTCAAGATAATCATGTAGAAAATGCTTAGTATCAAAAGATGACTTGAATAATACTAATTTATTATAAAATCTTAAATAGTGGGCATAGATATTAATTTGAAAATCACACTTTCTAAAAATTTTATAACTAGTTTTGAAATAATGCTTATGCATATTTTGAAATAATGCACACCCTATTATATATTCATATTGTATCACATTATATAAATAGTAATTTATTGAATTGACTATAGTATATGCTCAAAAATATATATATACAGTTAGACCTCTTTAAATGTACTCTCTCTAAGTGCACACCTTTTCAAAATACATGCTTAAATGCTAGCCCAAATATATACTTGACCTTTATAAATGCACTTTTTCTTATTATTCTCTAAATACATATTATGAAAGTTTGGTCCCAAGAGTATGCACTTAGAGAGGTCTGACTATACAGTTAGATTTCTAAATACATCTACCTATAAAGACCAAAACTCTAACAATGTGTACTTAGAGAATGTTTAGAGATAATGTATTTATAAAGGTCATATATATATTTGGGTTTTAATAAGTATACATTTGTAGAAGGCACTTTTAGAGAATGCATTTAAGATTTTACTATGCAATATATCTTTATTTTTTATGTATAGAATTTAAGATAATTGTATAATTTAAACATTTTATATTAAGTTGCCTGAAATGAAAATATTAAGCAAGAGTTTTGTATTTATTAGAAAACAAAATATTTGTCTAGATCATAGAAGATATAAACTTAATGTTTTTTTTTTACATTTTAATAGAAATTTTATTCAGAAAGACAGAAATAAACTTTAAGACAAAAGTTTGAAAATATCAAATAAGTGGCAAACAAATTTTTAAAATTGAATATAAGCTTTTGGCAAATTAGCATGATCTTGTTTATATATATATTTTTTTTTTGTTTCACTAAAAAATTCATTTTCTATTTCAGAAATTTTTATCAGTTTAACAAATAAAGAAGTAGATAATTGGTTTAAAGTAACTATACACTTACCACCTAGTAATAATATTCTAGTTACAATATAATATGTAGATTATTTTTAACAAACAGTAAAGTAATATTTAATATTTAATGAATTATAAATTTATAAAATGCTAACTTGCTTATCATCTTGCTTATTATTTGTCATATATTTATCTTTTATATCTTCATTCTCATCCATATTCATTATATTATTATCTATATCATTGTACACATCTATATTCATCATATCTTTGTCTCTTTCTTCACTTAATAACTCATTAATCTTATTCATTCAGTCTTTAACAATTGCTTATAAACAATGTGATATTTTATTGTCTTTACTATCATCAGAGTTTAGAATGAGTCTAGTCGATTTAAAGGATTTGATCATAACTTCTTTACTAAATTTCTTCAAGTTAATTTGTAAATTAGAATTTTATATAATCAATTTTTGTAATAAAATCATACCTTTCATGTTTGAGAAACCCATTCACAAACAAGCTTGTATGGTGCTTTTTTGCAATTGCCTTTTTTGATAAAGTTCTTTTTTCTTTTTCTATCTATTTTTTTTATTTTTTTTATATACCACTTTTGAAAGGCTTATTTACTGAGACATCAGGTGGTTGCAAACCACTAGTTGTTCTGTCAGATATCTCTAAAATATCCAAACTCTCAAGCTTCAATGCTTTAACTACATCATTACAAGTATAGCTAAAATGATAGTTAACAAAAATTACATCTTTATTTTTAAAAAAATCATTTGGTCTTGCTCTAATAACCTGTGAAATATAGATGAAAACTATTAAATCTTTTTTCATATTTGTATAAAATATTATTGCTACTACAATGTCTTGCAAAAACTTTCTTTTTGGTTTTTTTTTAAGCTTGAAAATTACAGTTGATAGAAGCTTGTCACCAAAATCTGTATAACCTAGAATTACAGTAAATTGTACTTTATCACTTCCTGTAGTTTTAATTAGCACTTCATAAACACCTTCAAACTCAAGTATCAAATTTCTTAGTATGTCAAACTACATGGGTATTTCATTAAAAGAAATGATATATTTTTTTTTTTTCTATATTTTGAGTCTTTTCACATGCAATTTTAAGAAAATTCTTAACAATTAAGAGTGTTTTCTTTAGAAACTTTTGCACAATTTATATACAGGCCTGTTTTATCAGGTTGTGTTGATTTTTAAAACATATAACTTAGCTATATGAAAACTGGACATCTTTAAGACCAAGAGTTTGTCCTAACTCTTTAGTTTTGTTTCTAATCATAAACATTATAACAGTATGCTTTTTCTCCCTTTTTTTTAATGTAATCCAATAGCTTATTTTTTAGCACAGGGTACTTGACCTTTCAGCTGTGACCTTTGAGAGCTTTTACTTGATCTTTGTTTTTGATAAGTTTAAGCTTTTTTTTTGTTTTCTCTATTCCTAGACTCATTTTCTATTAATATTATAAAATATTGCTATACAGCAATTAGAGATGTTTTTTGTATATTTAATCACCTCAAGTTTAAATGCAATAATATAGCTTCGATTTTTGCATTCTAAATCTATGTTTATTTGTAAGTAATATAAGAGATTTGATTGTATAACTAAAAAGTACATTACATTTATATATCTTGGAAATTGTTGTTACAAAAAAAAAATGAACAAAGAAAAAATGATAGAGCACTAATAACTCAGATTAATGCAAGTAAGTCTAGTATTTTTTTTTTTCTTAAAAAAAATAAAAAAGTATATAGAGAATTCTATTTATAGTTTAAAAAATGTTTGCTTTTAAATATACAATTCATATAAATAAAATTTTATTGAATAAATATAAAATATAAATAGAGCCAGTGTAAATTAGTATCATAAAAAAACAGATATTTTAGTAATATATTAAGTTTGTGCAAATGGAAGTTCTAATTTATTTTTTATTTTTTTTATTTTACTTTTTTTATTATTATTTTTTTTTATAAGCAATCTCTGAGTCTGGGTCTAGAAATTCTATTTTATTAGTGAGCTTGGTACCAAAATACTTTAGCATTTAGTGTTTCTAGAACAAATACAATTGAAGGTTTTCTTGAGTGAAAGTTGCTCAAAAGGTGTAGATAGAAAGACAGAAGAATACAAGTATTTATATACAGTATATTATACCAATAAATTACTGCTTTAAACAGATGTTTTAGTTTGGCTTACTATTTCTTTTGCCTTTTTTTTTACTTGTATCTCTTGCATTCTGTTGTTTACCATATTTTCAATGAACAAACTATTTTATGTTATTGTTCTTCTGTTATCTTACTTTTTCTGTATATTACTGCTCTTTTTTTTTTTTGGATTTTTGTATTCATTATTATTAGTTTTGACTTTGATCTGTTTATCTTTATATTATTCATTTTAAAGAATTCTTCTGCTATTACTAAAATCTCTAATAATTGTTTTTTACTGCTTGCAATCTATGTTGTATCATCTGTATATGCAATTGCTACTTGATGATATCTTGTAATATTGTTGCATTGCATGCCTCTTTGTAACTGTTGTTTGACTGTATACTCTAAACTTTCATCTTCTTGAATTCTCTCCAATAATGGGTTATAGAAGAAACACTATATTAATAGTGAAATTACTTTCCCTTGGTCTATTCTATTTTCTGTTATTGGTTTTTTTATTAGATCATAAGCTGTAATTATTCTTAATTGTTTCTTGTGAAAAAGATTTAATATATATTTAATTGTTTTCTTGGGTATTTTGACCCTTTGCAATACTAGTTCAAGACTCTTGAGAGAAACTAAGTCAAATGCCTTTTTTATATCCAGCAACAGTATTTATATTTCTTTATCTTTTTCTTTTGCTTTCTTTATTATCATGTTTAAAATCTGTATTGGTTGCTCTGTTAAGTTTTTTGAAAGGCCTATGAAGTTTGAACTTTTAAGTATTTTTCTTTCTATAAATACTTTGACAAGCCTTTTCATTATCACCTTTGTCACAACTTTTTTAAATATTTCAATTAGTCCTATTAGTGTTATTTAAACTATATTCTCATTCTATATCTTTTGGTATTGGGTATACTTGTACTATCTTTTACTTTGTTAAAATTTCTTCTATTTCTAAGCATAAGTCTGCAAAACTTCTAAAAACTTCTTATATTTTTGTTTCTGCTCTCTTGATTAGTATTTAGCTTATATCTGAAATATTTAGAGCTGTTTCTGTCTTTAGCTCTCTTAGTATCTCTTCTTATTCTTTTTTCTTAATTTTTTTTTCAACTTCTGCATATCATTCCTTTCTAATACTTTCTCTCAAATTGTATATCTTTTTCTACTTTTCTGTTATTGCTTCTAATTTGGTATTTTTTTTTCTAACTTGCATTTTATAATGTTTTGCTATATTTGTTTTAATCTCTTCTGGTTTTGTTATTAGATATATCTTCTCTTTTTCTTGTTTAATAAGCCTATCAAGCATTATTTTTTATATGGTTTATTTAAAAAACTGGCAAGTATTTTTTTTTGGTCTGTTTTGATCATTTTACATCTTTTGTCTATATTTTCTTTTATTTGTCTTCTTTGTGCTTGTTTTTAGTTCTTTTTCTTTCTTGCTTGTAAGAGCTTCTGCTATTCTTTCATGTCTTTTATCCAGGTCTGTGAGCAATGCCTTTGTAATTTTGGCAGTTTTGCACTTATTTTGTTGTCTAGTATTTTTAATTGTTTATTTGTCTTATTTCTTTCTTCTTTTATTACTTCTTAGTTCTTTCTTGTCTTTGCATATTTAATTAATTTTTGTAGCTTTACAATATCTTTTTTTTGTTGTTGTATTTTCTGATTCATTCTTTTATTTGCTATTGTGTTGTATATTTTTTTTTGAAATATATGCTTATTTGCTGCAGTAATGATTGCTTCTTTTATTGTATCTCATATGCTATTTATTTTATTTATATGTTTCTTTATATCTTGCACTTCTTTTTAAATGTTTTTTAAATTTTCTTTTACTTTTAATCACTTTTGCAGCTCTTATGTATAATTTTCTCAATTCTCTAGTTTTGCCTGATCATATAAATATAATGTTCTTGATTATCCTTTTCTTTTAACTTCTGCTTTACTGTTTTTTCTTATTACATATTTAATCCATATTTTTGCAGTTATAATTTTATAATTGCTCTCTGTAATTTCTTCTGTTTTCTCAATGTTTGCCTTTTGCAAAACTATGACCAGTTCTTCTAATATTCAAATATAGCCAATTCTTGTTGCAGCTTTCTTGTTTGACCATGTATAATTTTGGTTTGTTGGATGTATATTTCTATATGTATCTATAAAGTCTTGTTGTTTTATTCAATCAAAGATCAGTAGTCTTTTAAAATTTCTGATTGTGAGTATTGTCTATCTAATATATTGCTTGCTATATAATTAAAGTTACTCATAATTATGACTTGTGTTTGTCTTTTCTATTTAGTAACCATCTCTACAATCTTTTGTTAGATGTTTTTCCATATTGTCTTATTACTTGGTGGTATATAGACTTCTATTACTACTAACTCCAATTGTTTAAAGTATAGCATAATCTTTATTACGTATTCATTTATTTTCTTAACTGCACTCACATGTTTTTTCTATTGTTTTTCTATTAGAATTTTACACCTGATCCTTTTTTCTTATTTTTTGCTGCATTTGTCCAGTATCTTATATAGTTTTTGTTTGTCACATATATTAGAAACCTCCTTTCTTTTTCAGTAATATTTGTTTCTATAACTTCTAATATTGCAATTTTCTTTTCTTCTGTCTAGCTGAGCAGATTTTCAAGCTTTCACTCTTTGATTTTTAATCTATTGACATTATGACATGCTATTTTAATTTTTTTCTTCTCTTGTTTTCATTTTTTTTTTAATTGGTTTTGTTTTGCTTCTATGTTTTCTAGTTTTTCTTTTTCTTTTTTAGTTTTCTTTTCTTTTTAGTAAGGAGTTGTTATGTTTCTCTCAATATTTTTCTTTCTCTTTGTAGAAAACCTTCAAGCTCCTTATCTGTTTTCATTAGTTCAACTGAGGTGCCCTTAAGAGCAATTAGCTAGGCCATCTTCTGTTCTTAGCTGCATCTTTTTTATTGATTTGTCTTGTTGAACTTTGAGTCTGTTTAGATTTTTTGAAGCAAATCTTGCATTTGTAATTTGGAATTATCTTCTCTTGTTTGTTTTATTTGACTACCATCTTGCTTTTATTGTTTTTCTTTTTGGTCATTTCTCTTTTGTCAATCTTTTGCTTTTCTTCATTTATATTGATATAGGTATCTTCTGTGTTTGAATGTTTTTGACTGTTGCTACCTTTTTTCTTTTTATTCTACTTTTCTTGAAAGTTTTTCCAATATAGAAGGTAGTTGTTAAATTTTATTGGTTTGGATTGTGCTGTTTCTATTTTTTCTTCTAATAAAAAAGTAATTGTTGTTGCTCTTCTTTGATTTCTATTTCTGTTAGATAGTATGTAAACTGATTTTGCTTTCTTATTTTTTAGGCAATGTAGTAGCAGCACTTTTGAGATATTGCCTAAAAGCCCTGTTAATCTTGTTGTGAATAAGTTTTAAAAATCATGTTAGGTTTAATCTTTATTGTTTTTGGTTACTCTTGCCAACTTGTGAATACTGATTGACAAAGTCTATAGAATGTTCTTATTCGTAAGTTGATCTGCTTGAATTACTGCTAGTGCTTTGTGTTTAGATCTTTTAATGCATATAATTTTAATTTCTTGAAACTTTTACATATATGCTTAATTTCCTCTGCATTAATGTTTACAGATAAGTTCAATATCATAAAACAGTTATATAAATTTATTTCATTTTCTGTCATAGACAAGTCTTCTTTCCTTTTATATTTTTCTCTTCTAGATTAGTTTTTGTATTTTTTTTTTTCTTTTTTGTTATTGTTTTTGACTTGTTATTTGAGTTTTGGTTCTTTGTTCTTCTCTTTTTTTGGTATAAGCTTAAGTATTCATCTTTTTTTTCTTAAATTTTGTTCATTGCTATATCTTGACTATGTTTACAATTAAAGTCTACTTCTACTCAGTTGTTTCCATTCTTAAAAACTTCTTTAATTGCTTTAATATAATGCTTTTTGCCAAAAATTCATTGCATATATTTTATTCTTTTATCACTTGATTCTTCTAGCAAGATATATGCAGACATGTTTGCCTTAAAGAACTTGTTCTTACTATATACTTTATTTTTTGGTAATCATTGGCTATGCTTAATTGTATCAATAAGAAATAAATCTTCATAGATTATGTTTTCTTCTTTTAATTCTATTATTTTCTTGTCAATATTTTTTATATTTTTTCTAACATCTTGAATAATGTTATCTCTTGATGCCTTTGTATTCTTCTTTATCTTTTTCTCTTTTGCTTCTTTTGTTTCATTTAATTTGTTTATGGGAGTTTGGTTTGTGCTTAATAAGGAATTTTTTTGTTGTATATTTTGTAGTGCATTAATGTTAAGCTCTTCTATTTGCTTGACAATTTTATTTATTGCTTGAATTAGTTTTTCTTGAAGTGTTTCTTTTTTTGCTACATTTTGATGTTTTTTTTTTTGTTATTGATGTTTGTATTTTTTCTATACTGTTTAGTTTTTCTATTTTTTTCATTCTTCTCTTTTTTTTAAGTATTTCTTTATTACTTATGTTTGAAATATATTCAGCTGACTTTAGGTTCTAATTTATTAGTCTGAGCCTTTGTGCTTATTTATTTATTATATCTTCTTCAAGCCAACTTAATTCTGCTAAACTCAAAACTTTAAGAATTTGTCTATAGAGTAGTATATTGCTTAGTATAATATAGTTTGAGTTGTTTATTGCTAGGTTCTTTGCTATATGTTCTAGATTGCTTGGTTCTTTTGCAGGTGTTGTTAGAATTTGATTCAACAATTCAGAATTTAAGTATCTTCGATTTTTATTATCTGCTTTCTTAATGTAGTATATAATGTTTGTATTATTAGTCTGATCCATTTGATCTATTTGTTAGACTTCTATATCAGCAGAATAAATATGTGAAATATTGTGAAAAAATTTGCATACTGAAAATCTTTTAAAATAACTGTAATCAATATAAAATTATTTCAAAATAAAATAATTTTACAATATTGTAAAAGAAATAAAATAATTTCAAAAGAATTTTAACTATTTTACAAAATTTTAAAAAATAATAAAACT